TTCTATGTTGTGGCACCATAAGTACACATGATAGGACAGATCACTCTGTAGCGTACGATAACACTAAATGACCAAATTAGTTTTTCGGAAAGAAATTAAGGTGTTCTAGTTTTGACTACATCGAATAAGACTTGCATACAGGAGAATTTGACGAGGGCCGATCTTTAGTGTATTTGCAGTGTTGAGATAAGGAGTAATATGTACCATGGGGTGTACAGAATCAAAATCTGCCACAAGCATTTTGGACACGCTGCAGTAGTTTGTGTGTTCTAGACAAAAGGAAGGAACCATACGACGTAATATAGTTGATCTTAGATAATATCAATTCTTCACATAGATTAATACGCAAATCAACACTGAGAAAAGATCGAATTGGGGGACAGGCCTGTCTGTGATGGCAATGCTTACCGCTATCAGAATTATGCGAATGCGGATTGTGTATGATCCGTATCCGCCTTTCCGGATGCGTAGGTTCCCCAGTGGGTCCGCCGGCGTCGGGCAAGCGCCACCTGGCGGCGTCCGCTTCGCGCGCGTTACGCGGAAAATACAGAGGCGCCAGTGCAGTCATCAGCGCCACGTCCGGACCACATTCGCTAGTCAAGATTACTAGTTGAGGGGTTTTGTTCTGCTCTAGATAGCGTCGGATTGTACCTGTAATGTAAATTGGAACTTTTAATTGTATTTGCATTGCAGTATTTTCTTTAGGGAAAATAAACAGAAGTCATACCGTGGTAGGAAACCTGAAATTAGTGATAATCATTTAGTATTACCTTGTTATGTATAGCAGGTATGTCCTAATTACACTGACAAATGTAATAGCAGAAGCGTTTGTATAGTTAAAAGGGACTTTTAAGGGATTTTAAAGTTATATATTTTATTACATTAAGACATATAGAAAAACACTAAAATACTAATCAGACGCACGTGGCTGTAAAATCTTGTAGCATAGAGTGGCATTTCAGCACAACATCGATATATTAAAAAAAGCTTTATTTGTGGTACTAACAGACATAAAAATCCGTCTGTATCACAGTGCATCAGGACCTTGGATCTTAACAAATAATAATAAAATTTACTAGTGGTAAAACGTGTCCCAATGTGGACTTTGAACAATCGATATGCTAGGTTAGGATTGCGATTTTATTGCCCTCTTAATGTTGGTTTATTGCAAAAACTACATACACGTAGTTTACTCGTATTCTGGATGTTTATGCCTATTAACGTTTTTAGAAACGATCAATTTGTACACATGGTTTGTCTGTTTTATGTTATACTTTTAAGAATAAAGTTACTTACTAAAATACTTGTCATTTTCGACCAAACTGCCCAGTTTGGCACAAATATATGCAAAATTTCGAGAGAAAATATATTAAATTGAAATAATGACTTTTGTACATATATGTAGTACCTATGTCATTCGAACAAATATAAAATTACAAAAAATATAAAAATAAAGTGTTTCCAAGTGAATACTATCTCGTCCACTCAGAAAAATTTGGAGTCACAGAAACGTGTTATCGTTCAGAAAATAAAATAGAAGTACTGACGCAGGGCAACGTGCGCGGCAACGTCGGGCGGGAAGTTCCTCCGCGGCGCGCTTACTACGCACAGAGCTAACGACCGCGCGCCGATTTCGCCCGCCTTGTACAGTACATTCCTGGAACGAGACAAGAATATAATAGAATACGTATCGACGCTAAAGACATTAATATAAAAACAGAAATAAATAGCATTTATTTTATAGAATATCATGATGTTTACTACCACTATAGTATTATTTTGTGAAAATACTTCATTACCGTTTCGGCACGCTATGATGGCCGATTTGACAGATTACAATGGTGAGGTCAAATCTCAATTCATTAAGGAAAAAAATATAATCAAATACGAGTCACATATATGAGTTTTTAGCTTTGTAACTAGTATTGCCAGATGTTAAAAAGAGCTGATTAAAAAGTTTTAATAAAACGAAAATAAAAATGTTTACTTAATATGTCGTTAATTCGAAACTGTTTTGCTTTGCATTGAGCTTTGACGCGAGTTTGCCAGAGATAGAAGTTGTGCTGGCCAGCTATCCCATAAGTGACGATCGTATTAGATAATAATTAATTAATTAAATTAAAAAAAAATAATTTTTAAAATGTCGAACAACAAATGCCGAGTTGTGTCGTAAATTTATACATCCATAAATTTACAACAATTTACAAAAGTATTGACAACAATGTGCAGCAATTAGCTCCTTCAACGTAGTTACAAATTAATACAAAACTTGATGAGCGGACAAACGTCAAAACGGCCATCATAGCGTGCAGAGTTCGTTATTATCAGTGATACTAATAGTAACTCTGTAGCAGTGTAGCGATCTATCATCATTGTAATCGTCGCCAAGTGTCTACAAGCAATTAAGTATTTTTGTATGTCCACAGAATAAATTAGCATAACATGAAAGGGGCTAAGGGTGCGTACAGATCTGGCAGATTCACCAGAAACGTACGTACGCACCCTTAAGACAAAATGCATTGACCGAACGAACCATTTCGCGTAATATTATTGTCAAAAAGTTTGCAGCTTTAGGAATATACTCACTTATAACAATTATGAAGCGTGGTCTCGGCAGCCGTGTGGTATTTCGCAGTGTAGGTGGGGCTCACCGTGTGTACGATGTGCTTGCAGCGCATCGCGAAGCCAGGAGTTGCTATTGACTCGCCCGTTCGGCACTCTGTAATTCAACACGTCAATGGAATATTTTTATGTACCAACTTGACCTTACTGGTATGGAACTTCTGTTTTTTTGATTTCCGTAGAATTAAAATATTCCTCATTGCACCAAACAAATACAAAAATATTATTAATTATGTAAAGTTGAGCAAATGTGGATTTATCTCTAAAAAGATCTCTTTAAAACAACCCAAGGCAGCATTTGGTAGCAGTAGAGCTCCTTGTGAAAGAGCTCGTCTAGGGAAGTACTATCACCTTACCTATTTCTGCCGCCAAACAGTAATGTGAGCGTTACTGCGTTTCGCATTAGACTTATCAACTTATGTGTCAGGGTGACGGGCTCTGAGTGGCACTGCAACTGTTATTTCGAGGCGCACGCTTGCTCGTCCAGTCACTTGGTATTAGTAAAAAGGGGTAAAAACGAGAACAAAGGCTACCTTTGCAGTAGTGTTAAATTGGTAAATATCCTTTTTTAAACTGATTGAAATCTAGACGAATTAGTGTAAATTTGTTAGTGCGGTACTTAAAGTTAACAACTTTTCTTAATTTCGATATTACTTATTTTAACAAATTTAAAAAAAATCTGATGTCATTGTGTTGTTTCGTGTTTGCACTGAAAGGTGATTAAGCGTTTCGGATGCGGATGTCATTTAGAAATTAAGATAGGTCCAGTATCGCAGATTCAAAAAGTAATGGAGGTCATCTCATGAAATGCATTACTGGTACAGTCGGTGCGGTAAATAGTGGATACTTAAGTGAGGGCACCAAATGTACTATAAATGTACTACTAGATATTTTTCTACGTATTCCTAAATTTTGAGTTGAATAGCCTAAAATAATTCTGACGATCAGGTGCGTAGTCATAAGACTACGACAAAACGGTTCAAACATTTAAAATCAACTTTTGGAATGCTTTAAAACTACACATGGTGTAAATTATCGTTGACTTGTTAAGACAAACGATAAAATCCTTTTACAACATTATGCCGTAAAAGAATGCAATTATGGTAATAAAACCAGTTGGTTTAGTGACATTGTTGTAAATAAGTTTATTAATATTTTATAATTCCTAAAGATTTAAAATATATTTACTCCGACACCGTTAAACAGTTTTACAAAACATTTTGTCTATTAACAACACAGTGAAGCTTATAGTATTTATTAATGCCAACAGAGAATGAGTTAATACAGCGAACAGGCTGGGTCAAACGTTATTAATGCGAGGATTGTCATATGCAAATCCTATCGCTGTTTCGTCGAGTCTTATTTAATGACTCTCGCTTATTTAACAGTTTAGAAACAATATACAGATATAATAGATAGATATCCAAAGATTTAAATGCTGTATGAAGTATTAATTAAATGGAGCGATATTTCACATACTCATCCATATATTTGCGCAATAATCAATCAGCTAATTGATAAGCAAATATATAAATTATTAAATTTCACTTATTTGTGACTACAAAAACAACACATTAAAATATTTGAAAGGGCACTTTTCTGTATTGTAAATTTAAGCCCTACGTTTATGAAGAATATAGATACGAGTAATAGATACGCGGTTAAAGTATGACATAGCTGTTCTAACGTTTTGTCACTTTGAAATGAAATTAAACCTTTATGGTGTATAAAATTCATTAATTAAGGTTTCCAAATTTAAAATGTTGGCGTTATTTAGCATAAGTTTTGCTCAATATAAGATCATTTCTTTTGCTTATTTTGCAAATGCTTTAAAATTAAACGTGGATAATGCTATACCTCGTGTAATTGTTAATATGAGTTCCGAGGCATTACAAAGTAAAGCTTGCTAGCTTGGAGACTTAACTCTCGAATCCATAACTCTCAAATAATGTTATACTGGATCATCATTGTTTTCATCAATCAAAAATGTCATTCAAAAATGCACCTCAGACCATTTCAACAATATTTTTTAAAGATTATTAATTTATAATAATGTAGCGTTTTGGGGATGTTCACTGATGCACAAGTAGATGAATTTGCTACCATCATAACGTAGACATTGGCCTCCTTGATGTGCCGAGTATTATTGATTATAAACATTTTGAATAGCTATTTCGTTTTCAGTCCGGTTCCCAAACTAAGATATAAAAAATAAAACGCCCTGTGACTCGTGTATTGGTGGATAATTACCGAGTGCCCTGGTGATGATTTCTTCTTTAAGCTCAGGCCCTGCCGCGAACATGATTCGTTCACTGACTGCGTTGCATTCAGTCAGCGTTTCATCTGTCGTATTCGTTACTGCGTCTACTTCCAATGTTGATATGTCTCCTTGCCTGGAACGTTAACAAACTGACGTTAAATATACCATTTTATGGGCGGTAGGCATTGACTTACGGTAGGTATGACAAATTACATCGACAATAGTATGAGTGTTCCAATCCCAATATGGAAAGCCATATAGAATTTTTTTATTTTTGTGTGACAAGCATATGCGACGTCAAAAGATTGAAATAGCACAAAAAATTTAAAGGACTATGTTTTTTTTACTAATCACAAAAGTCGGATTTTCGTCATCGTTATTGCCCACAAATTATCTCCACTCCTAGCGCGGACAACCAGTGTATTGAATCGAGTCGAATTTATCCGTAAACATAGCTATCAAATACCATTCGAATACCCTAAGCCTTTTCAGTATTAGAATATATTGTTCCACGCGCAAATAAGAGTCGCGCGTTTAGTACTAACCAAATGGCGAAACGGTGGTTGATGGCGTCGACGTGTGGGAAGACGGGTCGGGGATGGTGTGGCGCCCCGCTGGCTGCGTAGTCGGCGGGGTTGGGCGGCGCGCGCGCTCCCGCCGTGCACGCCCAGCGCGGCACGCCTGCGCACACCAGTGCCGCCGCGCACGCGCCTGCGCCTGCGCCCGGCGCGCGCATAGCGCCCGCCTCTACAAATAATTAAAGAAATTTCTGTTAGCAACAACACAATAACGTATATAAAAGGTGACATGTCCAATTGGGCTCTCTTTTTTTAAGTGTTAATAGCAAAGTGAATCAGGGTTCCAAAAGTAACTTGTTAAGTTAAATCTGCTAAAATTTTCCAATTTTTACATTTTCTGACAAATCACGACGTTTATCTAAATAACTCAATTACAAATCGAGTTCTTAGGTTTTCGCGATTGTTACACATAGGAAATGAAACTATTTTTCCGGATTTAAATCGCGTATATTTGTTTTTTCAAACAAACCGACGTTTCGGGCCCTTTACAGGTCCCATGGTCACGGTTGACTGAGGTGGTGCAGTCTTCAACCAGTTATGTCTAATATTAATGCAAACCACCCTATTTTTTCACTATAGTTACAATAGTTATTAATTAATTATTTTTAATTTTACAAAGAAAACATTCCAATTTACGCTACATTAAGTTTTACAAATTATTTTATTGAATGAATTTTTATTAAGTTTAATTTATTATTAATTATTAATAGAAATTAGAATAAACTAAAACATATTAATTAGTACTGCAGTCTTATGTCTGTTTGGGATTTTTCATTGACCTGTAAAGGGCCCGAAACGTCGGTTTGTTTGAAAAAACAAATATACGCGATTTAAATCCGGAAAAATAGTTTCATTTCCTAACTCAATTACAATTTACACTTTTATTGATCAATGCGCACGTTTCTTAATGGAGTGAGACATTTTCAATGGTTTGATGTTGATCCTTACATGTTAAGTTGAATATTGGAAATCCACCACTAACAGTCTAATCTACAAGATGCTGAAGAGGTGCTTTCAAATGCTGCAAAATCATATCAATAACTTTTTACTCGTATTAGTTTTTATACCTACTTCTATTATTTATTTATTACTTGTATTGTTCTGTAAGCTAAATAATTTTATGCATTAGCACAAAGTACAGCTGTAATACCAAATAGGGCTATACCGCGGCGGGTCTTCGCAAAAACATCTTTTGGTAAAACATCTAAGTACGCCTTGAAACCGAAACGACAACAGTTAAGTTTCGGTTCCAAGCAAGTAATAATTATAAAAGTTACAAAGAATACTCAAAGCACAAGTTCTACAAAAAACCAAAGCATGCAAGAAAGTTAAACATAATTTCCCTTTGTCAAACCTGGCTTTTCTCGTCTGAAGGTCATTTCCATATTTTTCCTTACATAATACTTATAATGTAAGCAAACCAGTTACATAATCAAAATTAACTATAGTAGTAGTATGGAATATAAAGTACCTTTAATCGTCATTTCCGATAATTTGAATAAAGTCACAAACCTCGATTTCGGATATTATGGTATTCTAAATTGAACGTGACGTAACCGCACGTGCTAACTGTTCGGGATCCGGCGAGCATGTGACCTCGACGCGGAGGACGGGCGCACTCAGTACACACCCCCAAGGGTGGAAAAGCGCGGAGTGGGGGCGCCAGCGTGACGTCACGCGGTCACCAACCTCAGGAAGTGGGTCATGAGACCGGCCTGCCGATCTGTCCTCCCCACAAGGAATAAAGCCTATTGTTTGATATCACTGCCCCTTTTATGTAATTTTAAGGCACTGTACAATATATATGGGGTACGGAGCTTTCATTTTACTAATATCAATGTGAAGTTCGTTTTAAGTTTATATTATTATTATTATTCTTTAAATCTGTTGTCTGTTCAATCTTGGTGTTTGCAATTTTATTATAAAACTTTTTGATATGATTGTCCAAGAAAATAAAACACAGATTGCGTTTTTCGTTGAACTAATACCAATAATAAAACTGTTGGTATTATAAAAAAGTGCAATGCAATAAACTTGTTGTTGGAGTGGGGGGCGCTTCACTTTGTCTATTTAATTTAGGGGTTGCCGCTAATACAAGAATGATGAAAACGCTTTAACTACTAAGCTTCTTTGCCTGAGAAACTATAAAACAAAAAAGAAAATGGTCTATTTATGGGCACAAACACAAATATCTATGTGCCAAAACATACAATACAATGTCAACGAACCGTAGAGCCGTTCTATAATGAACTCAGGTCAACAATCGCCGGCGCGTTTTGGATTGTGGTAAATAATGCATGAATACATAATTGTATGCGTGGGTTCTGCAAGTCTATGCAAATTTGTCCCTACTTTTAGCACTTAACATTATGATGTCATACGATGTCAGCTTGTGGGTGTTAACTTTTAGTCTGTGTCTTGTTTATGTAAGAAATTTACAGTCCTTGTTATTTTGTGTCGTGTAATGTATAGTAACCTAGTTAGTTTCATAGCATACTTAAACAATTTTTTTTTTTTTATAAAATATAAGTGCACATTTTACCTCCATCTCACCTGATGGAAAGTGACGATGAGGTCGACGATAGGGTATGCGCACCTACATAATGCCCATTCAATATAACCTTGGAAATGCCGAAGTTATAGCGTCCGGGGAATACGCCTGCAGCGACGAGGAATTCCATTCCATAGCCGTTAGCTATATAAATGTGTAATAACTATGAAGTTGTCAAACCGCAAAAAGGATTTTCAATGCCCTTACAAACTTTGACAAAGCAAATAGTAATAAAACTGATGTTTTAATTCTTTTAATGCACTTTGATATAAAGTTCTGTATGGTTAGGTATATAGTACTCTACTGGTAATTGGGAAACGAAAATATGTTTCGTAAAGTATTATAATGAATGGTCTGAATAAGGTGTTCCAAATTAGTAGACAAATTCTACATATAAGATACAGTACACCAAATATTAATTAATTATTTTCTTCGAATTCTGGATTTCTGGAAATCGTTTTACTGCATCGTACGTAAGATAAAACTACTCTAGTTGTCCACTGCGTTCTTAGAGCTACTACAATTATTTTAAAATCCAACGTCAGCTTTCTAGGTGAATAGATTTATGCCTACGATGTAGTAAAACTCTTTCCGCAAATCGGGAATTCGAAAAATTTATTTATTTAGCGGTTTTAACCACTTCATATCGCTATTTTGTATCTATATCAACACAGGACAATAGTTTTGTGGTATAGTCGTGTGGTAATTTTCCGAAAGACTTTTCTATATTTGGAATGAGAAAAAAAACCCGCAAGTTTTGGCCTAGGAGTCGTGATTCTACGACGATATTTTTTTATTATACGACGTCGTTATTTGACGAAACACACAAAAAATGCTGTAAATGGAATTTTATAAGTTCTATTTTTCAAGATACGACAAAATTGCCTTCCAGAGACAATAATATAGATATTTATCTACTTACTTGGAACACCTTACTCCGAAAATTGATTATAATAAATTGATTTGTCAATGCTATAAACCTACTCGTATTTTACTCGTTTGTTTTTAGTATTTCAGAAAAGAGTTAAAAGATATTTCTTTATAAGCGTTCTTTAAAGTGGAATTAACAACCAAAATGTTACACACGGTTACATCGTGTCGTAACAACACATGGTTTTGAGCATAGATATGGAAAAAAAGGGGAGACATGGTATGGGGGCGTGGTTCGTGTCGCCTCGATATGGTCAAAATGACCATATCGAGATGACACGCCTACAAACATCGCCACAGTGATATGGCGATCGTTGTACATACAAGATCTCTCGTAAAACGTGAAAATGCCAATTTGTAGGGATACACCTTGTAAAAATTGGAGTGAAAACAAAAATTTTAAAACCAGTGAGATAACATTCCACCGGCTATTTGCATTTTTAGTTACTATTTCTATTATTATTCAATGTTTTCTTTTTGTCTCCATAGAAATTTCTAGACTCAAATATAGTGATGTTCATTTACGGAGACTGATGTTTATCGACAATAAATTTTTACTGAAATGTTTCAATTTCTTAGTATGATTTTTGTAATTAAAGTCCCTATAATATTGAAGCGAAAAGATTCGAAGAAAAATTGATTTCTTTTATTTTATTATTATTATTACTAAATATTTTATTTCGAGTAACTTTAACACAACTCATATTTCGGACAACCGTTTCAATTTCATGTCAATTTGGATGTTGCAGTTGCTTGAAGAAAAATTTATGTGTTTTAGATACTTAAGATATTTAAATTCCATTATACTCGTAGATTGAACGTAGAGTATTTTTAATTTTTAAGTTTTTCCAATGAGTTTAAAATAAAAGAAAATATGTATTTATGCTGCAGGAAAATCGAAAGATTGGTTTTCTTATTACCATTTCCGACTTTGTTTCAATTTCCACAGCAAATGCATTTAAAAAATAAATAAAATAAAATCGGCTTTATTTAACATGTGCATGCAAAATAAATTAGAAATAATTATAGAAAATTACGTAAATCCCTCATAAAAAAACAACATAATTTAATTTATTGAATTCGTTGATGGTTCGAGTTTACTCTTGACAGTGACAGCTTCACCAACCCATGGTAACGTATAATGGAAAATTGACACTCGCGATATTTTTTATATTATTCTTATAAAACTGACACTGGTCCAAGCCTAGTGGCCGCCTATAAGAAAATAATAATAATTTATATTAATTTAATAATACACCAGTACCAGTATAATATAATATAATAACGCACACACTCAATATAGCCCCGCATTAGGGAAACCCTGTGTCGCGGGTGCCATGGACACAAACATAGACAACCACAAATTACACCCAAACTCACGAGAGAAATAAATGTAGGCCATACAAATATTTCTCCCGACCCGGGAATCGAACCTGGGACTTCTGCGTGGCAGTCCGGCGTGGTAACCCTTCGGCCACAAGTTTCATGTAAGTGGTATCTCTATAATCACATTGACATTACTTTTACACAGCGAAATTTGTATATTTTCAGTACTATTTTGCGGCAATCATATTATAACTTCTAAAAGTATTAGTAGATTTTACGATTAAAATCTACTTTTAGTAGTTACAATATGATAGTCGCAAAATAGTAGTGAAAATGTACAAATTTCGCTGTGTAAATCAATCAATATTCAACTAATTTGTCGATACAAATTAGTTAAATATTGTTAACGTGACAACTTTCATTTAAATGGTATTTGCATAATCGCATTGATATGAGGTACTTTTACACAGCGATATAATATATATATATTCCACATTTATAGAACTATCTTGTGACCATCATGTAACTATTAAACGTTTAAGCTGAAAAATTTGTACAAAAATAGCATCAACTATAGTGTATTGTTAATAGACTACTGTTAAGGATATTTCCTTTTAAGAACGTTTTCACTAAACCATAATGTGTTGTAAAACTTTTATTTTATAAGTGATAAAAAGGCAAATAAACTTGTACAGAAGGCAAATTTATCCAAAGTTACCATAATTAGCTATAAACAAACAATAAACAAAAATAAAACATGACACAAATGATACGCTATTTTGTTATTATTTCATTGCAATATATTGACTTATTACATGCATTGTCAAATATTAAAGAGCACTGAATCATTTAATGTCGATCGATATAAACTATTAATACTAATCACACGCGAGAAGGAAATTAAGACAAAGTACAGTGCATTGACTCAGAATAAATCGGGACAAAGTCAATTTACAACGCAATAACAAACATCACCTTAGCAGAAACGAGGACAAATATAACAGGGAACTTTGCCTTGTCTCGGAAGTGATGAGCCACAAAAAAAGCGAGACAAGAAATGACGCAACGTAACAAAAGTAGAACTGTCGGTATGTAAGACATTATAAAATCTTGAATATTTCAGAGGATAGCATATCATCGATATCGCAGTGGCAACACTATATTAGTAATTTTTTAATTATTGAGATGTGATGATGATATGTTCTGTGTACACGACCCAACATAAGATTAGATAGATGTGTTTATACATGTTTGTTCAAACAAAGAGAATTCTAGAGATAGTTCCGAGACTTATAACGCAGTTTACAGCGAGCTCATTATCTCGCTAGCAGTAAACGCCATCTTGGAGTGTGCAAGCTAAAAGGGAAAATATGGAGATAATCTCGACTTAAGCATCATTGTTCCAGATAAGTCGTAGTTTGCTTATTTATAAACTCTTAGGAAACTTTGAAGGTCACGCTTTAGAACGCCACTTACTTCGGCGTGCACGCATATTCGTGTTCTGATATAAACATGTAATAAACAATTGTTGACATTTTATAGAAGCTATTGAATAAATAAATTTTTTTATGATACCAAGTGACGGGACGCACAAGTTGTGTGCCTGGTGGTAAACGACACGCCTGTCCATAGCAGTTGCAGTGCCAATCAGTGTTTTAAATCGCAAATATCTGAGGGGCACTGTCACTGCGC